CTGGGGGGCAGGAAGGGGTCCAGCGTGCAGTACAGAATGGGAAAAAGATTCAGAGTGGGTAAGAGAAGGGGAAGTTGGCTTGAGGGGGTGGCAGAAGGGTGCGTGGGGGGATGCTGGAGAGGGTTTGGGGCCTAAAAGGAGCGGGAAGGGGTCTGGGATGGGTTCAGGAGGTGATAGAAGTTGACTGGGTGGTGCATGAGATCTAGAAGGGAATTAGAGATGTGGGAGCAGGAGGAATGGGGATGTGGGGCAATCTGGGGAGAGGTGAGTAGGAGCAAGTGACTTGGAGGGGGAAGAAACTCCTGTGGGAATACTGGGAGGAAGTTTGTTGGCCTGGAGCTGGGTAGAGATGTGGCTGAGAGCTTCTGAGGGCAGTTCTGGGGCAGAGGGAGCTTTCAGAGCTGTGGAGGAAGGAGTGTCTGCAGGAGCACCGGTGGGTTCCCCATTAGTTTTAGGATTACCTCCCCTGCCTCGTGGAGGAGGGAGCCCAAGGACAAAGGTGGGAGTACCAGGATCCATCCATGGGAGGATTTCCCAAAAAGCTGTACAAATGCCCAAATACAAAGCAGTGATGAGTCCTGCAGCTCTCTCCCCAAACACGCGGCCTCAGGTCATTTTGTTGCCTGGCTAAAAGCCACCCGAAGGGACCTAAGGGCTGTTGTTTGAACACAGATGTGTCGGGGAGCGCAGACGGCGGCTGCGGCAGCGCCTCGTGTCAAGAAGTTTGCCATCTACAGATGGGATCCCGATAAGCCTGGGGACAAGCCCCGCATGCAGACGTATGAAGTGGATTTGAATAAGTGAGTATGCCCCGTTAGGGAGAAGCTTTGCTGCCGGGCAGGCACGCCGGGGCTGCGTGTGCGTACAGGTTACCTGAGAAGTGATAACGGGGTGTGGGTGAGGAGCACTTGAGCTGACAGCTGAAGGTGTCAGCAGTCTCGTTTAGCTTCCGGGGCTGTTAAAACCTGGTTAGAATAGGCAGGGAGGTGATGCCTCAGTTGTGTTCCAGAGCTCCTTGTTCTCAGCGCAGGTAAGATGAAGGTTATTCCCTGATCAAGCAAATCTTACTGTGATTGTGGTGGATTATTTTCCCTTCCCTCACCCATCAGTGCTAAGTGTGCCAAATAAAACTGTTTTGTGCTCTCAAGAGCTGTCAGCAGTGAAATGGTCGCTTTGTTTTGTGACTTCTGTGAGGTTTTACCCGTGTCCCTGTGCTGAAGACTTGAACGTGTTTGTGGCTTTAATAAGCTTTATTTACATGGTAAATTTTGGGGCATGTTCCCAAAAGGAAACTGCTTGACGTGTAGCTCGCAGTCCCACACCTGGGAGTTAAGGCATAAGCTTCACTGACTCTTCTTATAGTTTTCTTAACACTTTTAGTTTTTTTACCATTTTCTTAACACTTAGTTCCTAGTTTTAGGTCATATTAAACTTCTGGTAGCCACCTGCATGCTTCAGCGTAGCTGTGACCAAGAAAGCTCTCACCTCTCTGAGTCTTTGGAGGGGTGCAGTCCTCCCCGTGTCACAGAAACCTTCACATGGGCACCTTGATTTCCCTGAGCTCCAGCTGCTGCTGCGATCTTGCCAGAGGAATTCACCTCGGGCCTTCTCTGAATGCTTCAGATACGAAGCCACACAGTTCCCCGCATGACAGAGAGCTCAAATTTTTGTGTGACTTGCACCAGTTAATAATTTCTGGGTGTTGCCTTGGCTCCTGTGTATAAAATTACATAAGTCATCCAAAGACTGTTTGGTTTTGTGTGCAGTACTGCCTCTTGTGACTCACGAGGACAGGCAGACTTGTTAAAACCTGACCCAAAAGGCCAGGACTGGTAGCAAGGCACTCGGTTTTCAAATCTGGCTCAACCCTGAGCCAGATCTGGGCTTCTCTCCCACCCGGGGTGAGCTGAGGCGAATGGTTCATGCTGCTCATCGAGATATCTCTATTTTGTTGCCTGGAATTGGCAGAAATATGTGTTTTTAAATGTAGATCAGAGTTGTTTCAGGTGCTGCTTGGTTGGGTAACAGAGATCAAGCACTGAGGCTGGGGGGGAACGAATTTCACAGGCTCACCGACTGTTTTCTGTTACAGATGTGGGCCTATGGTGCTCGATGCTCTGATCAAGATTAAAAACGAGTTGGACTCCACTCTGACCTTCCGCAGATCATGTAGGGAAGGTAAGAAGGATTTTCCAGCCTGCTGGATGCAAGATTGCCCTTGAAGACTGTCGCTGACTGCGTGTGTAACCACTGGAAAACTTCAGGGTAGACGGCAGCCTGCCGCTCTCCTCTTCCAGCTCCTGCATATGAAATACCTCAGTGAATCAAGGAGCAAAGTTAAAGCTCGTGTTCGCAGGGCGTAATCGCACAACACCATGAGCGATATGCTTAAATAGCCCCAGTCGTTCCAGTTTCTGCCCTGATCTGGTTCATCTTGCTGCCCTCCAGTGATGGGCTGCGTAGGGAAATGGAGCGAGAGAGATTACGACAGCAAAACTGAGGGGGCAGAGGTGGTGAATGGCAATGAGTTGTAGGGGCTGCTTTATCTAGCGCTGCTGGGGAAATAAGGAAGGGTGTAACTGGAAGAGTACTTAGGACTTCTAGGAATAGCTGCAGGAATCTTTTTTTGGCCCTTTGACTAAGCTACGTGATTGATTGAGGAAAAGGCCATCCAGTGGTTTTGCATTTCAGAGCTACTGGCTGGTTCTGGGACAGGTACAGACCAGCCTGTCTGTTTAACTGCATTAAAATTTACCTGGCCAGGTGACTTTCCTGTTAAAAAAAAAAAAAAAAAGAATCATCCTAATGCATGGGTAACGATACGATGCTGAGCTTAAAATGATCACTGTGGAAATGCAGGGAGGGAGGATGCCTTTATGGAACGGCTTTGGATTTAATGAGGTGGGTTGGCAAACATGAGAAATTCAGGTGCGATTGATGCCTCAAGATGTTCAGACCTGGATCTGACTGAACAGCACGCTCTCACGCAGCCATTTCCTGCAGAATCTGCATAGCAGGCAGAGGAATTTCTTACGGTGCGGTTGTTCCCAGTGTCTGATGTTTAGATAGCCAGCGCTGTTCCCAAGCAGCCGGAATTTCATTGCCCTGAATACTTTGGGAACCTGAAGACAGATTTTCAAGCTGGGCTGGTTTAGTCTTGTGCCTTTTCCCCTGCGCAGGGGAAAACCAGAATGCCATCACGCGCTCCTGCTGCGTACTCGTGGGCCTGCGCCTGCGGTCCTGGATCTCTCTCCAGTTGACTGGAAAATAGTTGGAACCGTCTCTCGCGTGGGAGGAATAACCTTGTTCCGACGCCGGCCTTTATCTGGCAGCCAGGGGCAGGATTGCCAGGGTTAGCTCCGCCAGCGTGAGGAGCGGTGGCATGTCTCTGACTCACAGCAACTGATATGTGTCAAATCCCCTGAAATTAGAGTTTTGCCCTTTCAACATTTGTCTTCTTTCTAATACGACGTCTGAGGCGTCAGTCTGGGTCAGATACCCGAGCTCCTGACCCCAGCAGTATCTGGGACGGTTCTGCGGTGGGTTTTCTTGTAAACCTTGGCCTTCTCTGGGCTACATCTGATCCTTCTATTGCTGGGAGATCGTTAGTGGTGTCACTTAATCCATTTGTTAAGCTATTTATATGCTGCTTGTTCTGGGGAGCGTCTGTCCACCTTTGGGGGTTAACGAACGTCGTTTAGGGCACCACAGGAAGAAGCTTCTGTCTCGGGGACTTTGATTTATGTGCCTGACCTTCAGGGGTGCCTTTGACTGGAATTACAGGGCTGGGGGGGGCGGGATGCGCCTGTCTCCCACATTATAATCTGTGTTGCCTGCCTCGAATCAACATGAGCTCGTGCTTCAAACTTGCAGACGAAGCTGCTTGTTTTCTCCACCCTAAGTAGCAGGTAAAACTAATGAGTGATGCAAAAGGGTTGAAGTGTCCAAGCCACTTGTTTTCTGCTGCGGAAGGAAGTTCAGCGCCGAGAACGCGTTTAGGCCTTAATGAAAGTGACTCCTGCGTTTGGTCTTTATTTAAACAGCAGCGTGTTTGGCCCGATGGCAACTTCTGGCGTTTTCCTCGGCACGTACAGGGTTTCTTGAAGACAGCCCCGGGGGTGTGTTTGGGGCCACGAGGATCTTCCTCAAGTAGGATAAGAGGGTAAATACTTAATGCTTTATTTTCTCCCGCTCAGGGATCTGCGGCTCTTGTGCTATGAACATCGCTGGCGGGAACACGCTGGCCTGTATCAAAAGGATTGACCCCGATCTCAACAAAATCACTAAAATCTACCCTCTCCCCCACATGTACGTGGTGAAGGACCTTGTTCCAGTGAGTATCTGTCTCCGTCAGCTCGCGACCGAGGTTGACGCGTTCCGGGGGTTCAGCTTGGGTTGGAAAGGATAACGTTGGGAGGTGCCAAACAAGATCAGGTCTCAATTCATGTTATTCCTCCTGGGGTTTTCTGGCTTGGGTGGGTCTGAGCTTCGCGGCAGTGACTAAATCTGTCCTCATTTGGAGGAATGTGGCAGGTTGAGGTAGAAAATGCCACCTTCTCTGGAGCGGTGGCAGGTGCTCATGCTCTCCTGCATCAGATTTAGCTTAATAAACATGACCTCTTTGCCTTTTGACTCCTAGGACTTGAGCAACTTCTATGCACAGTACAAATCCATCGAGCCTTATCTGAAGAAGAAGGATGAGTCGAAACAGGGCAAGGAGCAGTACCTGCAGTCCATAGAAGACCGTCAGAAACTGGTTACTGCTTCTTTTCTACCCTTGAAATCCCTTCCAGATAAGACCAGGGTTAAATGTTAACGTGCGGCAGCTTCTAGTTCCTTTCATGACAAAGCTGTCTGGTGCAACACCCGACGTGGGTGGAATCTGCTCCCTGCAGTGCAGCGTCATGGCACACCTGCATTGCCAGGGGTGACGTTTGGTGATGAAACGCGGTCACGGTTGCGATGGGGATGTCTGATTTCCACTGGCCCGCACCTCGAAACTTGGTTAAAACATGGCAAAGGCCACAGGCTCGTGATACTCCCGCGGAGATAAGGCTCTGCAGTTTATGTGGCACGTGGGCCGCCGGGCTCAGCGCCGTCTCTAGCTGCAGCGTGCTGAGCAACGCGCTCTCCTTGCAGCCTGCTGGGTTTTACAGCCCTAAAAACGAACAGCAAAAAGCTTTAACCCTTTCGGATGCGGAGGCCTGATGTGTTAGCACAAGCCTTCGGGTGCCTGCCTGGAACGCCGCGTTATTTTGAGGGGGTTTTCTGGGAGCCTGAAAGAATCTCCATCCGAGGGCAGCGGTTAGTTCAGCACCGCTCCGTACTGCTACCCGATCCGTATGTAAGGCCTACAAGGACTCTCCCTTCGCGTGGCGTTAGGAAGTGGCATCCTTGAAAGCGTTTTCTCGCTCGAGCAGCGATAAGCAAACCTAAGAGCTGCCCGACTCTTTCTCACACATAGTAAACTCACTTTTTCATCTCGTTGCCGACATTTCTCTGGCTTTGACAACGGCCTGTGTGCAGGAGAAACTTGGTTACGGCGTCAGCTGGAAAAATCTCACCTCTTTCTTTAAATCATGGGTCATTGGAAATGTTACAGTTAGGAATATGACCAATGTAGAGGGAGATGGTAACACTGACGTGCTGAGCTTTGGCAAGTCTCTCCAAAAGGCTGCTGCAGTAGCCTTGTTCCGAGCTCCCGAGAGTTCTGGCATGGGGTATATTCCTGAATTAAACTTCATGAGACCTTTGTCCCAAAACAACTTTCAGATACATGAATTAAGCCAGACTGAACTCTGTCTCTTAGCCTGGGGGGGGTTGACTGAGCTACTAGGAGACTGCTCCTCAGAGTTTGTCTCCTGCCCAGTGTCATTTCCATGCAGGAAGTGACTTTTCTTCGGTGCTTGAAATAAAAAGGCCTCCATCTCTTCAAAAACGGTGAAGTAGCTAAAGACTCGCCCCGTTCCCGTTCGTGTAAGCACTTGAGGGTCCCCTCCAAATGTGTGCTAACAGGGCTTTTCTCTCCTAGGCCGTTGCACAGACCTTGCTCGCTCTTCTGTAGCACGGCCTTGAATTGTTAATTGGTTATTTATCTGTTCCTTTCCTCAGCCACTTGCTGGGACAGGCTGGAAGGAAGAAATGCCGGAAGATTGAGCACTTTTCACATTTTCCTCCAGCATTCCCCCCTGCCCCTGTTGTCACAAACCATTAGTTTTATTTACGGGTCGAGCTGGGAGGATGGCAGGCATCTTGTTTCAGAGGAATGGCCCTCTTCCAGCAGCGCCGCTTCATAGTAAGGTTTTGGGGGCCGCTCTGTCGCATCATCCCCCCTTGCAAGAAATACAAGGCTTAGCTGTGGCTTTCTGGTCTCCCCCCCTTCTGTGCAGGACGGGCTCTACGAGTGCATCCTGTGCGCCTGCTGCAGCACCAGCTGTCCCAGTTACTGGTGGAACGGGGACAAGTACTTGGGCCCCGCGGTACTGATGCAGGTAAGGATAGTAGCCGTGATCCTAGACCAAAATTCCCCAATTAATGGCTGCTTTTGAAACCTTGCTCTGATGGCAACACCTCGAAGTGTTCAGTGTGTCAAATGCCGCTGCCTTGCAGGCCTATCGCTGGATGATCGACTCCAGAGACGACTACACGGAGGAGCGCCTGGCACAGCTTCAAGACCCGTTCTCTCTCTACCGTTGTCACACCATCATGAATTGCACAAGGACTTGCCCTAAGGTACGTCTGTGCCCTACGCACGGCCCTCCCGGGGCTACCGCCTCGCTTCCCAGGATTCTGTCTCAAAAAAGGAAAACACCCGCTTAAGCTTTTGTCTTCCTCGAGCTCGCCTTGGCTTGTTCAGCCTTTGGACGTGCAGCGAGCTCCCAGTGGTCCCGCTGGGAATAGCGACTGTAGGAGAGGGCACGGCAAACCTTGTGTCGCGCGTCGCAGCGGTATCTCTTCCTCGTGAGCGTGGCTGGGGCTTTGGGAACCTGCCAGGATTTAGGAATGTGACAGTGTGGCGCCGGTGGCGCGAGGGGCACTGTGGTGTGAGCCTTGTCGGTAGTAGGCTTAACCCTCGCCCGGTGCGGCCTTACGCCCCGGCAGTAGCAGCAACCCCCGGTGCGTTGTGCAACGGGGGGGACAACGGCAAGTCGTCGGCGCCGCGGGGGGACGTGTTTTCTGCTGACGTCGTGCCGTCAGGGTATTTCCCTGTCTGTTCTCCCTGCTATTTGGAGAAGTGAGCAAGCTTTCCCAAACCAGAACGTGCCTCTTCCTCATCCTGCAGTGACCTCGTGCCTGTCGTCGGGCAGACTGTCAAGCTTTGTTTTGCTCTTTCCTAGCCAGCTTTTTTTGGTGGCGGAGTAATTTTTGGGGCTGTGAAATAACACAAAGGCAAACTGAGGGGGTCACGAGGGGAGATCCTGGAGACCTGGGTTGGCACATCAGGAGCGCTGCGTGCTGGTTATTTTGTATTTTGGGGGGTTCTTCTCCCTGAGGTGACTTCACCGACTGCAGATAATTCCCCCTTTGTATGGGAAGCCGGCTCCTGGCCTGGTGTCAGCCGGAGTTCAGCCACGGGCGAGGGTTCAGGGGGGGGTGCCGGGCCGGCGCCGGGCCCGTACGTAGGAGCGCGGGGCGGCGGCACGCCGAGACTTGCTCTCGGGCTGGAGGCGCGTTGACAGCGAGCAGCGCCTTTCCGCCCGCATCCTCAGATCCCGGCTGCCCTCTCGGCGCGATTCCCATCGGTTCTCTGTCCCGCAGCGCGGTTGTCGTCCCTGGCTCGGTCCTGGGGTTTGGTAGCAGTGCTGCGGGATTAAGGGCGTTTCCAGCGTCACGTGGCTGTAGGGTAGAAAAAACCTTCGGAAAGCTTAACTGGCTTTTGTGTGAGGAGCGTTTTCATCTCCTGACTCCGTTCTTGCTCGCTCCCCCTCCAATACACGGTGCTTCTTTGTTTCGGACAAGGCAAAATCCCACATCTCCTGTACCGTCACTATTGAGATTTTATGGAGCAGTTTCCTACCTCCAGGAATTGGCCCGTAACACCCCTAAAAAGGCGGAATTCAGCCCTGCTTGAACTTTATCAAAAATTCCTTGTCGCTCAGCCACTCGTTCTCCTTGATCCCCCACCTTGCTGATTAACACCAGCCCTCCAAGCAGTGGGAAGTGCTGCTGGCTCGGCCTCCAGGAGGAGGTGGGCTCCAAGCAGGAATTCTGTGACCCTGCACGGGGCTGGCATCCTCTTTCTGTGTAAACTGAGGCTGGAACGCAGCAAACCTGTGTCCATGCCCAGCTCCCTCGGTGCATAGCGGCGCATCGGCGGGTTCGCCGTGCCTTGGATCGGGATGGGGAAGGGGACGGGATGCTCTAACATCCTGCTTTCCCAAGAAACTTAACTGAAACTTGGTGTTTTCAGGGATTGAACCCTGGCAAAGCGATTGCTGAGATCAAGAAGATGATGGCAACCTACAAAGAGAAGGCGACGGCCGCCTAACGCCGTTCCCTGCCCGGCCGTGTCACGGAACGGAGCTTCCTCCCGCTGCGGCCAGGGAAGCTGCCAGCGGGCAGCGGGGTGGGTTTTCCGTTGCATGTACAATAAACCCTGTAAAGAACAATTACCCGTCATTAATTGATTAACAATACTGAGCCGACGCCTCTCCCGTAGCATCCCAAACCTCTCCGGTTTGAGCGTGCGCGCGGCCGCGTTCGCCCCTGAGGCTCCGCTGCGGGATGAGGATTTGGAAGCGGCCACACAGCAGGGAGGAATGGGCAGAATTCCCGGTCTTTAAAGCGAAAGACCTGGATAACTAAACCCGCAATCGGCACCAAAACGAGGGAAGCGGCTGGGGAAGGGGAATGTGGGAAGACTCTCACCCTGTTCTGCATCCTCGGAGAGGGTCTGGAGCTCACGGGGCGCAGGTGTGGGGCGGTGCCGCTGGGAAAGCGACGTCCTGCCGCTGTCCCGCCGGGATGCCGAGCTTTATTCCCGAGTCCTGAGGGAGTTGAGATTGACTCGAGCAGGGAGATTCAACCCTGCCTTTTGGGGGCAGAGCCCGGTGTGTTTCCTTGCAGGATTTGGGGGCACAAAGCCCTTTTTTGGGGTCAGAGCCTGGCACGTTTCGTTGCAGGATTTTGGGGTGCAAACCCTTTTTTTGGGGTCAGAACCCAGTGTGTTTCCTTGCAGGATCTGGGGGTGCAAAGCTCTTTTTTTGGGGTCAGAGCCCAGTGGGTTTACCTACAGGATTTGGGGGCACAAAGCCCTTTTTGGGTTCAGAGCCCAGCGGGTTTCCTTGCAGGATTTGGGGGTGCAAAGCCCTTTTTTTGGGGTGAGAGCCTGGCGTGCTTCCTTGCAGGATTTGGGGGCACAAAGCCCTTTTTGGGTTCAGAGCCCAGTGGGTTTCCTTGCAGGATTTGGGGCTGCAAAGCCCTTTTTTTGGGTCAGAGCCCGGCGGGTTTCCTTGCAAGATTTGGGGGCGCAAAGCCCTTGTTTTGGGGTGAGAGCCCGACATGTTTCCTTGCAGGATTTAGGGGTGCAAAGCCCTTTTTTTGGGGTGAGAGCCTGGCGTGCTTCCTTGCAGGATTTGGGGGCACAAAGCCCTTTTTTTGGGGTCACAGCCCAGTGTGTTTCCTTACAGGATTTGGGGCTGCAAAGCCCTTTTTGGGGTCAGAGCCCAGTGGGTTTACCTGCAGGATTTGGGGGCACAAAGCCCTTTTTTGGGGTCAGAGCCCGGCACGTTTCCTTGCAGGATTTGAGGGTGCAAAGCCCTTTTTTGGGGTCAGTCTCGCACGGCAGGGTTTGGGGGCACGAAACCCTTTTTTGGGTCAGAGCCCGGTATTTTGTTGGGGGTGTAGCGCCCCCCTCGTGGGGCACAGCCCAGTGCGTTTCCCTGCCACGGGGGGTTTGCAAAGCCCCGTGGACCGGAGGAGCCCCCGGGGTGTCTCGTGTTTTTGGGGCGTGGGGGGGGACACGACACGGGACGACCCAGGACTACAAGTCCCATCAGCCCGCGCGCCCCGCCCTTCCGCCGCGTGTGCTTCCTTGCAGGATTTGGGGGCGCAACACCCTTTTTGGGGTCAGAGCTTGGTGCATTTCCTTGCAGGGTTTGGGGGCACAAAACCCTTTTTTGGGTCAGAGCCCGGTATTTTGTTGGGGGTGTAGCGCCCCCCTCGTGGGGCACAGCCCAGTGCGTT